AAAAAAAAAAATCACTGCCTTTATACTGTGATCATACCTTATTATAATACTAAGTATCTCTTCACAGTCTAACCATTCCTTCATATAGTAAGCATACTGTCACACTTGTACAATAGTCTTCAAATCTTGTTCTTAAGTCTGTATTCAAAATTAACTTTCAAAGTTAACCTACCCTGAAGGGTCACTCGAGGTATTGCGGTCCATTGCTGTCTGTCATGGATTTTCTTTCTCTAAAGACTTCTTCTCGAGAACCACTAGACTAATTTGAACCAAATTTTGGTAAGAAGTATCTTTAATTAGTCAATGGGGATCCACATTTTCAAAAGAAAATTGGTAGGTCCTTTTGGGGTTTATTTGAGTCATGAAAAAGGCAAATATATATATACAGGTGCAGTTGACCCATGGAGCTGACTGAGGGCCTTAAAAGGATGATTTAAATTGCCTGAAAAGATTTCTCCTCTAGAACTTTAGGGATATCAACCCTATTTTGTTGAAACTAATTGCAAGTGGTTGAGATTCAAAATTGTATAAGTAGCGGGGATGACGCTTTAGTGGGATGAGGGGCTTTATAGGATTTACCGGGTAAATGGAAAGTTGGCTGTATTGCTTTTAGCGACTTCTTTTCTGGAACTCAGAGATGGATATCAACAGTATTTGCTTGGAAGCATTCTCAGGTGGTAGGGATGTGTGTTGTTAGACACCATTGTTTCGCACTTAATGGCTCGGCTCCATCAAGTAATCGAAATATCCAATGCCATCACCATATTTGGACTGACTTCATTAATCAGTAAAGTGGCCTAAAAAAACAATGAGTAAACACACCAGGGACCATGTACATTCATTAAAATAAAGTGAAATTTGAAATCTTTAGATTCTAAGATATTGAATTAATATGAGCAGAAAAACACTTTTATTTCAAATGGAGCAAATGATTTCAGTATATCTGATTTGAATGAAATGGATTCAACCATAAATTAATTGCCAAGGGAGAAAATGCTGGCATTTTATATACATATTTCAGTGTAGAATTAGAAGTGAATGGTACACACTGTAGTCATCAAGGCTTGGGTTGGTATTATGTAGTACTGTCAGTTATTCCACAGGAGCTGACTTTAGGATTGCACTCCCTCCCTCGATCATTCTGTGTGCCATTTTGTCTGGGGCTTGCCTCATATTTTGTCACCTACAATTGGCAAATTTTGTATGGGAGTACCTCTTGGGATGGTTTAAGCATTGTTTACTGAAATGGGGTCATGTGCCCCAACTTTGTATAAAAGACTTGTGAAACTTTTTACACCATGTATCACTTTGTCATATACCATTACTGAATTTTGTACTTGAATACCTCTTGGGATGGCAAATTGTCGCATGCTGAAATAAGATTTATTTTGCTCAAATGTATGGTTCTATATCGTATGCTTAGTTTATATACTGATGTGGGTTAGTGTGGTTTACTTACAATGCCTTGCCTTGTTTAGTTAATTTTTTCTGAAAGAATTTAAAGAAAAACTTAAAGTCATGAAGTTACTTTGCTTTTCAAAGGTATAGATTTGAAAGAGAATTTCCCGGAATAATGTATTTGGAAATACCAGTGTAACACTATATTTAAAACCTTTTTGAAAATATTAAAATATTGGAGTTGTGAAGGATTGATGCTAACCGAATGTGACAGGAGAAATAGATTAGGCTAGTCCCTTTGATTGGAGGTTTCCCTCAACAGTGTGTTAATGGGTGGTATAATGAAATATCTATGTCTCCCTAACAATAGACAGTCCGGGACAATGCCTACCATTGTTAGGTCCTGTTAACCACATAAAAGTCAGCAGGAACAGTTGTCTTGGAATATTGGGATTCAGTGACGAGTTACATAAAAGTAATTACTTGATTGTACAGACCTAATATCCTGCTCCGAATCAATACAGTTATCCATACAGAAACATGGCTTCATATTAGCAGCTTTTGTACAACGACAATAGACACACAAGTTCATTCAGGTTGTATTGCATTGGGAATGAGCAATTTGGCTTAAAATGACAACTGTTTTTAAAAGGATAGTCAACTTCATTCTATGAAATTGAAAGTTTATTGGGAGAAAGAATTGGGGCAAAAAACACAATTTTAGCAGAAGAATTCTACTGTGAATATGTAATATTAAAATATTGTAGAAATTTGAAGTTATATAATATGCTGGGTGTCAGTGGTATCTGAGCTAGCTGTATGGTGGACAGGTGCCAAGGCTGTGTAATGATATAATTAGTATGGATCTGGGTGTACTTGTCACCTTTTTAGTAGATCATCTGTCAATAATGGTTAAACCTCTAGGGAGTAATGGGCTAGGTGGTCACTCGCTACTGGTCAATCATTGTAGCCACCACTGGTCAGTCATTGTAGCCAGTGGTCAATCATTCGCAGGTTGCTGAACCAGATGGTCAATAAATTAAAGCATACAGATACTGGTACTGATGGAGCCAGACCTGGATTCTGAACATTGCCGAATGGTCAACTTTCTGGTCTAAATTTTATATTTGAAAATAATACAAAAATACAGTGGTCACTTTGCAAAATCATTGTCAATGTTTAAAGTTGATGTCCTCATGCGGATGGCCATCATTAACGTTCAGCATACTGACTGACAGCTAGGGATATTTCAGTATTTTTGGGGGTTGATATTTAATTGGAAGCTAATTATATAACCAGACTTGAAAGTGATATATAACCAGACTTGAACGTGATGCTAGTCAACAGGTTAACCAGACTTGAACGTGATGCTAGTCAACAGGTGTGTTCATTAAAAGTAGAGATACTGAAGTGCTGACCACTTAGGCCACCAACCTCGACCAACATTAGAGTGATTAAATCATCTACTGCCCAGTTAGATTAAATCTTCTGTTCACAATTATTTTACACAACTCTCATAAACAAGAGTTTTACTCCATGAACGGTACAAAGCACTGTTGCGGATTGCACCTCATTGTCTTTTTGGCAAAAAAACGTTTATATCTCCATTGATATTTTTCATTGAGAATTTCTGAGGATTGATGTTTCTGCTGAGGTGCTCAATAACCCACCTTGTGACTGTGTAACACCTGTCTTCTGTAAAGCTATCTAAAAAGAGAGGTTAGCTGCTTCCAGTTGGTTTAGAAGAGGAAGTTGGAACAACATTCTGTGGTAATTTGATGACTGGAGAAGGACATCTCTGTACATGCGTCATCCTTTATTGCTGAGTTTGTGAGGTTTGTTTTGAAGATCATTTTTGATATTGTCTCGTAGCACTGTAACGCTCTTTGTACTGATCAACTTTCTGTGGTTAGATTTTTGCTTTTCAGAAGAAAAAATACATAAATTAATCTGTCAAATTACCTACTACAAAATAAAACTCATACCCGTGTTTGACTTTTATAGTTTGGAAAATAGAGAAAACCAATATTTTAGACTAAAAAACAAAGGTTTATCTAACGTCGAGGGTTTGGGCTTAAAACTATCACTCCAAACACTGACAGTTAACTATGATTTCTTGATTCACTTGTCCCTTTGGGAGGAACACTAGGCTACACAATTATCAAGTTGAAGTATGTTTTCCTTTCATTTAGCTCATTTAATGATTAATTTTCCAAAAAAATATTTATAGGAAGTTAGTGTTGTAAAGCTCCATGTGACTGTACTCGATGATCTGCATACAACATTAAACACACCTAAAAACTGAACTCTTCAAACAAGGATCTGGACTGTAGTTATTGAAATCTTCCCTTGCGTGTTAAAAGGTGTAATCATGCACTGTCAAACAAAAACCATGCTTTCCGACATATGACCTTTTCATTTCGATAAAGTATGAACTACTAGTAAAAGGGTATGGGAAGCCAATGGCTTCAGCGGATGGCATAAAACGTATTAAAGAGTTGTTGTATATGTCTTAGATACCATTAAGTTTCCACATGATATATGTGATAGGGCTGACCTTTACTGATATGTCTGTGGGATGTGGAACTGAAGCTAGAATATTGACAAATAACACTGACCTGTAACGCTGAGGTAAAATACATGTATCAGTAACCAAGTCTTATTGAATATTTAAGACATCATCAAAGTGAAAACATTTTCTTCAATATTTTGAACACACACATACAAAACAATCTGAGAAAAATAACCTGATAGGACAAAGTATCTTTAGAACTGAGAAAAATAACCTGGTAGGACAAAGTATCTGTAGAACTGAGAAAATAACCTGGTAGGACAAAGTATCTGTAAAACTGAGAAAATAACCTGGTGGGGTAAAAGTATCTGTAGAACTGAGAAAATAACCTGATAGGACAAAGTATCTGTAGACCTGAGAAAAATAACCTGATATAGGACAAAGTATCTTTAGAACTGAGAACATAACCTGATAGGACAAAGTATCTGTAGACCTGAGAAAAATAACCTGATAGGACAAAGTATCTGTAGAACTGAGAAAATAACCTGGTAGGACAAAGTATCTGTATAACTGAGAATATAACCTGGTGGGGTAAAGTATCTGTAGAACTGAGAAAATAACCTGATAGGACAAAGTATCTGTAGACCTGAGAAAAATAACCTGATAGGACAAAGTATCTGTAGAACTGAGAAAAATAACCTGATAGGACAAAGTATCTGTAGAACTGAGAAAAATAACCTGATAGGACAAAGTATCTGTTGTACATAGAAAACAATTCTTGTCGGGCAAATATTTGTAAAACATAGAAAAACAGTAGGGCAAGTATCTATTGTCCATAGAACAAAACACCTGATAGGGCAGGTTCTGTAGAACATAAAATACTAGAAGTGCAAGTATCTATAGTACATAAAAAAAAACTAGTAGCAAGAATCTACGGTTCATACAAAAAATCTGGTATAGCAAGTATCTGTAGCAAGTACACACAAAAAATAGGTATAGTGTTATCGGTCTCCTGCTTTAGTAGTAAGGCTGACTCAGAAATTGGCTCATGTGTATGGATTTCTGTGGGAGTCTGTAAGATACACAGAAGCAGTAATAGCACCACCACGACCAGTTCTCCGTGCCTTTAGCAGCCCTACCACCATCAGTAATACTAGGTAGCCCCAGTACACAGAAAAACTACAGTACTACCACACACAACTTACAATTTTCCTTTTTTATGTTTGTCACTAGAGGGAGACACTGTTTTATTGGATACGGACATCGGACACGGTATTTGTAGTTTGTCACTGTGATTGGTGCAGCAGTGGTACCAGGACAGTAGTCACATACGACAGTCGTGTTCTCTCCGCACTGACAATGCTGGCACTGCTCTGAAACAGTCAACATTCTACCACTTTTAGGTAAAACAACACAGACTTTGTCACAGGAAAACACTGTTTGGAGACTTTTCGTGAAAACTTTTGTGTAAAAATTGAAAAAAGTGTAATGTTTTGGAGAACTTGTTAAACTTTCTAACTTAGATGAGTTATTTCTGGACTGTGAAGAAAAGAAGTTTTGAAGTAAAATTTGAGCAGTGTGAGTACCTACCATTGACCTTAGGTTTATGAAGCTGACTGATTGGCAGAAGGGTGTTTGTATTACCCTACAGACACAGGAGGAAGTAGACAGCATACAGACCAGGGATTATATATAGGACTCCAACATATACCTACCAATTGTGGATACTCAAAAGGATACCATGAGGGTAAGTTTTGTCGTGGTAACCCGACCTTGTGAGACATCGTTTCCTAGGTAACTCCACTTCCTTTCCTCCATCATTCTTTGTAATTTTAGTCTTTCACTTGTCATGGTCCTTCCTTCTGTACATATGCTTTTAACCTGGATTCAAGGGATCGTTAATTCTGAAAAACCTGAGCTTTAGAAAGTAATGGCATCAATGGAAAAGTGAAAGTTTTAATTTATTGTTAAGTTTCTTTCTAATCTGTACAGAGCATGAACCAACGATAACACAGGTTTTTATCCTGCTTGATTAGAAAAGATTTTTTCTTAAATAACTTTATACACTTATGAGATGTTTCTCAAATTTTGAGCCGTTTTGGTCTTTTTTATATTTTTTTGAAACGGCAGAGGGATATATGATTCTTTTGAAAACGTATTTTATCAAATTAAATGCACAAAAAAATCAATCTGAAGTCTGTTATCAAATATCAAAGTATTTTATTTCAACATCAGTACAGCAACTATAAGTCTTCAAAAAATGTAACATTTAGACTTGTCTGGGAAAAAATCCCATGACATGATATACAGTCGAACTTCGTTATCTCGAAGTTGACGGGGTCATGGAAAAACTTTGAGGTATCCAAGTATTCGAGTTATGCGGGTTCATAAATTTGGTATGAAATTTGCTGTTTGGACATAGCACTAGCAGTTGTTGATTTTATTCATAGCCAATGATGGTAATCAATCGATGAATGATATATACGTAATCAATATAAAAAATACAGGTATGTTATTTCACAATAAACACGCTTACAAAAATATAGTAAGTTATTTCCGAAAAACGTACTTTTGTTTAACGCTATCAAAACGGTTGGACCACATTGTGAATTTGTTATTAAATATGGGCGAGCCTAGTTATTAAATGGTTGTTTTTGGCTAGTCTAGATCTTGGCAAAGTTTTTCCAAGTCTACATTTGTATTTGCAAGCCCATCAAGTTTTACTTCTGAAGTGTTACATTTAAAAATCGAACTATCCCGCTGTCTCCTACCTGGTACTATACAATGCGGAAATGAAAGTATGCAAGTCTAAAACAAATCACTGTGATGGAGCGTACGTGTAGTTGAATCTGTAAATGAAAACACAAACAAAACGATTAATTAAAGCCAAATGTGACACCTGACATCTCCTCAACTCGATGTAATCAACGACAATTAGCATATTGTTCTTTAGACTTCAGACTCTCGATCGACTTTCAAAGCCATACGGTATATACTAGCTCCTGTAAAAACATGAACCGGGAAGCTGTGGCCTAGGTTGTGATTTTAACTGTGGAATTCTTTTATGCATGACCACGCTTTGTGACCAATTTTCCGGTTTGTACTGTCGTCTGTTTGGGTGTACATACAGAATACTGTTGATCAACATTGATGAAGTTTGATTTTTATTATGAACAACATGGTTTTGACAGTCCACACAGTCTGAAGCTTTATCGTAAATTTCATGCTTGTCTACTCACGAAAGATGTTCATAAACACGGAATTGCAAGATGTCATACTTTTGTGTTTTATTTGTATCAAAGAATTAATAAGTGACAATATGAAATTCGAACACTGTGCAGTAGACGATGTTTTGATGTTGGATTTACGCTATCGAAACCAATATCTTACTTTGAGGTATCCAAGTTTTTCAACTTTTCAGGGTTCAAATTATCAGAATTGTATTTGATAAGATAAAGAAGAGGTTTGGCTGGGACCGGAGAAATACTTCGAGATAAACGTTAAAAGAGTTTGAGATAACGAGGTTCGACTGTATCTATTATATCATCAAAAGATTTTAAAGTAATACAGTAAAAGTAAAACTTTAATATGTTCCTTTTAATGACACTTGTTTCAATATAATCTTTGTTTCTGTGTGGCTCCCTGTGTTTCATTTGTAACCATTTGTAACCAATGTTTACACTTCCATTTTATCTAAAAGTTCATTGCATGTCACCCTCATTATACNTTTCACGGGGCAAAATTAGGTTTTTAAAGAGGAGACATCATCAGAGAAATAGAAGTTATCAAAAATAGTGTCAAGCAAGCTAACCTCAATTATTTTCCTACAATAATTGTAAATTAGTGAAACAGTTGTATGTTGTTACAGGGGAAGGAATTTCTTCAAATGAGGCTTATTGAAATATATCGCAAGAAATAATCACTCAGATAATTTTGTTAAAGACATCAATTTTTAAATAGGCATGAAAATCTAATTTTCTATTTTGGACTTGAAAAGCGCATTAATTAAAAACTGTATGCATACATATGTGTATACATACATATATTAGTTATATCAGAATTTTGTGGTAGCCATATTTAAGGATGTACACCTCTGAGAAGTCAAAAAATTCCTGTATTAAACTTTTTTTCTTATGTTGATTTTTGGAAAAAGGAGATAATGGCATAGTAGAAAATGCAAAAAAAAATATATGTTCGTGTGTTCGTTTTTGTGCTATGATCGGTCAAAGATACCAATTTAACACAATAGGTGATTTTAGGTGAATTTTCGGGTTTTGACCATTTGCAGAACAAATTCATACAATTTCTTCCAAGTGTGTTATCAGATATGTATGAATGTTTGTAGAATTGATAAAAATATTATTTTCTTTTAAATTATGGAAGTAAAATTTCTTAATCTTATTCATTTTACTCAGAAATGCGATTTTAGTTACCCCTACCCCTTATTTTTTAATGAAAAATGCACATTTTTTCACCATTTTTTGCAGATTAAACGCTTGATATAAAAAAATCCTGTATTAAACTTTTTTTGGTATTCAATAAATCAAAAGAAAACGTGTTTCTCTTTCTAAAACAGCCACAAAAATGGGGGGTCGGTGTGCTTCTTTTTTTGTCCCATTATTATTTGTGTTATTTTTCACTTTTTTCGGGGTCAAAATTCAAAAGTGCTTCAGTTACCCTAATATGTAAAAAAAAATACCAATAATATATAACTTTCCACTTTTTTGCATATTATTTTAGTCATATTGAACATTATAAAGTTGTAAAGCAAAATTGAACCTGCTACATTTAAAAATGGTGACACAATGACAATTTAAGTGATCAATCTAGTGTTAAAAAAGGTGAAATTTTGCCCTTTGTGAAGCGCAAGAAATTCACATAAATACACTTTTTCAAAATGGCCGCCAAATTGGTCTTTTTTTTTCAAATTCTTGTAAAAAATGTTCTACACACAACAGACATCTAGTTTTTTGACATGATTTTCAGATATGTGTTTGCTACTAAACCTATCATAATTTGATAAATATTACAAAAACCTGTTACACCAGATCAAAACGAGACTTGAACGTGATTGAAACCTCAGAAGAGTACATCCTTAAGAACTTTTTTCTCAGTTTAAAAGTAGTAAAATATGATAAACTCAAACTATAAAATAACTGTTTTAACTACTTTATGATCTCTGTAGCACTAAACCAAAGTACATGTAAACTGAAAATTGATCATGATGAGAGTGCTGTGATTAAGCATCTGTTTAGTGCTCCAAATGTAATGAAAATAATTCTCATATTAATTACTTATTTCAGGTTTTACATAATTTTGTATAACATTTAATTATCATACATGCATTGTGATATTTCTCTGTCATTGGAAAATGTTTATATTTTTTGGTGGTTTCATATTTTCTCAAATCTGCTAATGTAAAAGTCAGTGTAAAGAAATGTCTAGAAAAACTCCATAAAGAGAATCCTGAAGTGACTTCTGTTAACACTTTTGTCTAAACAGGACACCACAGTGTCACCTGTCTAAACAGAACACCACAGTGTCACCTGTCTAAACAGAACACCACAGTGTCACCTGTCTAAATAGAACACCACAGTGTCACCTGTCTAAACAGAACACCACAGTGTTACCTGCCTAAACAGAACACCACAGTGTCACCTGTCTAAACAGAACACCACAGTGTCACCTGCCTAAACAGAACACCACAGTGTCACCTTTCTAAACAGAACACCAGTGTCACCTGTCTAAACAGAGCACCACAGTGGCACCTGTCTAAACAGAACACCACAGTGTCACCTGTCTACACAGAACACCTCAGTGACACCTGTCTAAACAGAACACCTCAGTGACACCTGTCTGAACAGAACACCACAGTGTCACCTGTCTAAACAAAACAGCACAGTGGTACCTGTCTAATCTTAACACCTCAGTGACACCTGTCTAAACAGAACACCTGTCTACACAGAATACCTCAGTGACACCTGTCTGAACAGAAAACCTCTCGGTGACACCTGTCTAAACAGACCGCCTCAGTGACACCTGTCTAAACAGAACACCACAGTGACACCTGTCAAAACTCCACTCCACAGTTAAACCTGTATAAATTAAGCATCAAAGGGGGAATTAGTTCAGTCACATTTTAGGTCACACAGGTTCATTTACATAAAATTGTGTCCAGTAGTCTGGTGTAGAGAGGCCTAAGACACCACAATGTCACTTTACATAGAAATATGAAAAGTGGGACCAAGTTATTGGTCTGGTGTAGAGAGGCCTTGAGACACCATAATGTCACTTTACATAGAAATGTGAAAAATGGGACCAAGTTAATGGTCTGGTGTAGAGAGGCCTAAGACACCACAATGTCACTTTACATAGAAATATGAAAAGTGGGACCAAGTTAATGGTCTGGTGTAGAGAGGCCTTGAGACACCACAATGTCACTTTACATAGAAATTTGTACAGTAGGACCAAGTTAATGGTCTGGTGTAGAAAGGCCTAAGACACCACAATGTCACTTTACATAGAAATGTGTACAGTAGGACCAAGTTAATGGTCTGGTGTAGAGAGGCCTAAGACACCACAATGTCACTATACATAGAAATGTGAAAACTGGGATCTATCTGAAGGTCTGTTTTATGCAGGATTAGGTTGATACAGTTTATATAGAAATTTATAAATTGAGACCAAATCAGAGGTCTGATTTGTACATATTTTCAAATTACATAAGGATTGAGCAGCACTTTTTCA